GATAGTTTTTTGTTGCCATTGATATGCCTGAATTCTGTCCGTTCTTTGGAATTCCTTGGAATTACTATTACTCATATTTGTATAGGTTGAATGTTTTGTGTACATTCAACTACAACAAATTTGAAATTAATGAAAAGCAGTTCATTGAACAGCAGAATATCCTCTTTGAGATCATCCTAAACAGGACGATGCGAAATAGAGAAACCAATGAGCTCTTCTGTCTGTTGGTTCGTTAACCAAATGTCGGTGGCAGCTGTGAGTAGTCCAGACTAAATCAGAGTCAGCATTTGTTTTAAGTCTGCATGTAGGTAACAAGGACTCCCAAACTTAAGGGCCCCATTATCAGGAAGTCGAAAAGGGGAGTAGATTCAAAACATAAACCCAGGCACTCTGGTGCTTAATTCAGTCATCCCTAGTAACAGCTTAACCACAGCCACAGACAGGCATCCAATAGTATTTCTGAATGATAGCAGAAAATATTTTCCTAAGTGACAAAACAGTTTTTCTTTTTTTCTTCACAAATGTATACAACTTTATAACTAATGCCAATCAATTTTATATTATTTAAATATATAATCTAATCTGATTTCATGTATAACTAACTGGCTCAAATTGTGTGTGTGCACATTTTAAATGTTTGGACACCTAATGGAACAACTTCTTTAAAAGTTTCTGTATTTATTTTTTATTGGGAAGGAAGACAGATTTAAAGAGAGAAGGAGAGACAGGAAAAAAGATTGTCCATCCTCTGGTTCAGTCTCCAATTGTCACAATGTCCAAAGCTAATCTGATCCAAATCCAAGAGCCAGAAAATTCATTTGGGTCTGCCATGTGGGTACATGGCCTAAAGCCTTTGGACCACCCTCTATTGCTTTCGCAGGCCACAAGTCAGAGCTGGATGGGAAGTGGAGCAGCTGGAATGGGAACTAGAACCTGTATGTGATCCTGGCAATTGTTAGGTGAAGATTTCGCCATTGAGCCATCACACCAGAGCCTTGAGTTACATTTTCTTCCAGAAATATTCAGCTTCATTTTCTCCTAGTCTCTCCTTAATAAGCTTAAGGATTATTAGACAACTACAACTCAATCTGTAAATGTCATTTATGGAAACAAATATTTAAAATTTTATAGTTTTGTAAACATAAAGGATATATTTTAGAAAGAGTTGGTTATTCAACTGAATGAAGTAAAGCTTGTACAATAGTTCCAATCTATTCAACATCTTAATTTTCCACATGTAAACTTAATAACAAAAGTGACATGAGCATGTACTTCTAAAAATTCATAGCTATTTATTCTCAGGGTTTTCCTGATCAGCAGGCCACATGACTGCTGAGGGTGTAGGGCAATGGAGTGGTGTTCTTCAATGTGAACCATGGCAGAGCCTGGTTGTTTATTGTAATGCAAGCACAAACTTATATAGACTAAGAAAGGGGAAAGAAGAAGGGCAGAGCCCAACCGTCCATTCACCCAACAGTAGAACTATAATTGGCTAGAATCTATGTCTATCTCTCTAGACCCTCCAATCAAGTCATAGTTCTCATACAACACTCATGGCTGGCAGGTAGACCATGAGTCACATATACAAGGTAAGCTGACAGGTACTGCAGACTGCACCTGACTTGTAAGAGTTGCTTATCAAGGAAGTCCCAGCACAACTCATTTAAGGACAGAGAAGAGAGATCAGGGTTCAACCCACTGCCCTTGCTTGTATGACCAGTCAACAGGCCAGGTTGAGGTCTCGGTTAGCTGAAACCACAGTCGGGGGTTCCCCTGGGGACACCATGTGCTGTGTGCCTATCACCTCCCACATAGGCCAAGCTGGCAGAGATCCAGGGGTGATCTCCCACATTTTATATTTAAGTATTTTGCATATTTTAAAGCTATGAATTACCTTATGTAGACAATATTTATTTGCATATTTAAAATATATAGAAATTAATGTTACAAAAATACAGCCACTCTACAGATCCTTGACAGAGGTGATATTTCTATTTGTGTGAAATGTAATTCATCCATTTGGAAAACAAAGTGACTAAAGTTGCTCAGAGGATTAAAAATATTTGTGTTTATATGGCTATGTTATTATTCCAGGATCATTTAAATTTAATAACATTGAATTTGGACCGTCCTTCTTAGATTAAAACAAAAACATTAAGAACATAAACTGTTTCACTGGCTAGCTCCAGTTAAACATCATATATTATTTCATAGTAATATTAATATTTAAACTGTACAAACTAAGAGCTAATCTGCATTTGCTTCGTAGGCATATTCTATGGTTTGTCACAATAATTATGGGTTAAAATCTCATTGCCTTATCCAAGAGAATACTTTACATAATTCTTTTACATTTTTCCCATGATACAATTCCATAGGCGCAGGGATTTCCACTCCCATCCTTCCCATTCCTACTCTCTCCCCATCTCTGCTGATTTCTCCTGTATTATTACAATAGTATAACCCTTCAGCAACAGTCATTAAGTGCATCATTCTGCAATTTAAGTGTATCCTGACAATGTAGTTATAGACAATTACAGACTATAGAAAGTCCAGCATTCTGTTGTCAAGAAATATTTGGCAGTTTCATTGGGAGTCCATCTCTGATTCAGGAGTTAAGATGCATACTGCACTCTTCACTTCTCCACACGCTAGTCTCCATGACACAGTTACTCTAGATGAATGTATGTCTCTGTATGCTTTACCTACTTATTATCAGAGAGAGCATTTACTATTCATCCTGGGATTAAAAGCAGATATTTTGACATATGTGGACTTCAGTAGGCTTTCATACTAAAGTTGTAAAATTTACAAAGATACCTTTTCCTAATTTTCCCAAAATGTCTTCCTGAATATGCTCCACACAATTACCATGCTTGTTGAGGGAGAGAAGCATGTCCAAAACTTGTCTAGGGTTCATTATCGCTGTGACATACAATTGTGTAAGTATTCACTTGCTTTCCATTGAAACAGTTTAAAATGTTGTATGCTATATGAATAACTTGTACCCTATGTGACAGGGCAACATCATAAAATAACAATGTATTAAGTTCTAAATCCAATATAGATTGGTATTGATTTAGTAGAGGAGACCTAATGAAAGCAGACAGGATAGGGCAGAAAATAGCAAAGAAAAACATTTAAAAAAAAACTTTAAGAATTTACTATTACTGCAGATGTACACACTTTCTCAATCAATAGGCTCAGCTCCAACTAGATGAAACTATAGGAAAGGTAACATTATTAACATACATTTTCAGAAATATTTTATGTAAAACTGATCATATCGTATATTTGCCCAAAAGATATCAGGGGTTTCAGTGATTTTTGAAACTTAATCTTTCATACTGAAACTTGTGTTCTAAGACAATTGCATTGGGTGCAGTACTGTAAGCATGCTTTTTGTGCGGGAATAAGTCCCCTACTGAGTTGTTTCGTTTGCTTTGGTGCTGAATCCAGGGGATCAGTCAGAGCTGAACTATATCTCATTGTTACGACTGGTAATAGTACACTAGAAAAATAGCTTAACTCGGGCCCTGAGCGATGACCTAGTGGCTAAATCCTTGCCTTACAGGCACCAGGATGCCTTGTAGGAACCGATTCTTGTTCTGGCTGCTCCATTTCCCAACCAGCTCCCTGCCTGTGGCCTAACAAAACAGTAGAGAATAACCTGAGGTCTCGGGAGCCTGCTCCCATGTGGGAGACCAGGAAGATAACGCTGCCTCCTGCCTTCAGATCAACGCAGCTCTGGCCATTACGGCCACCTGGGGAGTGGACCCACCCACAGAAATTGTCCTGTCTGTCAATCCTTTTCTCTGTAGATTTGACTTCCCAATTAAAATGAAACAATCTTTCATAAAAATAGCTGAACCCAGCCAAAGAAAGCAGAGGTGCCTTTTGCTCATCGGTGTTGCAACAAGATCAAGGCCTTAATAAGAGGGTTATGATAACCAACAATGACATCAAGTAGCATTGTCATGTGTTTACTCCTGTCCTGAGTGCACTTAGCTTCAAAGCTGGGTTAACAAAAAGAGATGAATTTAACAAGGACCAGGGTTTCTCCACACAGTATAGTTAGTGAAATGGACAACGGATCATTTAAACAACTGAATATAGAAGTCATTTTTGGTTTTCATAGAAGAGAAATTTCAAGCTGATGAGAAAAGTGGAAATATTGCGGGATCAATAAATACACATCCCAGTGGCATGCAGCTCATTAGGGTGGGATTGCTTGAGGCAGTGAGCTACACGCAAGGAGTCAGGGAGTCAAGCTGACAGAGTGTGATGCATGAAATTGAGAACATGGGGGAGTTGCTTCTACAGGTAAGAACAAGGTCTAGGTCATGACACGGAACGGAGGGACTGGAAGGAAAAATAGAAGTTTGCAGTAGCTCAAGAACCACAGAAGGCAGGTTAGCTGGAATTGTCTCCGCTCTGAAAATTGAAATCATCAGAAGTACTGACAGGACTGGTAACAGTAAGGCAGCATTCAAAAGCTGAGGCATGGTCTGGGATTTTCAGTACATGATGTGACCATGAGGGATCCTGAATAAGTACAAAGTAGCACAGGATTCCAATTTTCGGGATGGATGAGAATATAAAGTTGGGAGCATGAGAACTAAGGAGCCAATTACCCTCTCTTGGAAGCTCCATAAGAGAACTGCAGATAAAGCATAATACAAATGTCCTGAACCAGAGGACTCCGAAGGAAGAGCCAGAGGCTCTAAGAAAGGTCCAGGCATTACAGAGCATCACTCTGAAGAACGTTCTCAATGGACATGCAGAAAAGGAGCTGTTGCAGGGTGAGAAGGCTGTGTTCAAGTAAGAAAACACCTAGTCATATTAACCTCTTGAGAACTGGGAGAGACAAAGGGAAATTTTCACCTAAATATTTTATTTGTATTTTTTGTTTCTAAATTAGTATACTTTAGATATCAACACATAGAGAAATCAAGAGAATAAATATGTTTGCTTACGAACATTTAAAAATATCAGTGCCTGTGCTCGCTTCGGCAACACATATACTGAAGTTGGAATGATAGAGACGATGAGCATGACCCCTGCACAAGGATGGCAGGAAAATGTCAGTGTCTATGATGTGTACTAGTGTAAAAATGTATTTATAGCTCAAAGAAGATATAAAGTGTTAGTGAAAACTTTATTTAAGGGAGTAAGTAGCTTTTGTAAGTATCTATTTTTTAGGTTGACTTCTTTGTGACATTTGTAAGTTGCTTCATCAAAATTGCAGTATAATTTTCAGGACATTTTTGAATAACATTTTAAATATATCATTTTGTAACTTGTGTAGCTAGCTAAAAAATTAATTTTATTTTTCTTTGGGCCCCACAAAACACAAGCATTTGTGCCTAAGTGTTGGTTCTACTGGCCAATCCTCTACCTGCAAGTGACACGGCCCCTATTGGCACTGATTCATGCCTGGCTGCTCTGCTTCTCATCCATCTCCCTGCTTATGGCCTGAGAAAGCAATACAGGATGGCCCAACACCTTGGGACAATGCTGCCATGTGACACACCTGCAGGGGACACCTGGATTTGTATCAGCTCAGCTCTGGCCATTATGGCCATTTGAGCAATGAAGCGACAGTTGGAAAACTTTCCTCCATGTCTCTCCTCTGCCTGCAGATCTGCCTTTCCAATATAAACAAACCATTCTTTAACAAACAAAGCAAGCTTTTATTTCACTGTTTAATTAGCATACTAACCTCAGTTGTCTCTGAAACTTATCTCTAGTCTACTTTTGAGATACTCAGTGAGTCTGTGAAATAAATATTATCTTACAAAATCATGATTTTCCAAGTGCTTTAAGTCACATTCAGAAGAATTGTTAGGAAACGGTTTATAGGATATTATGGGGGGGAAATCAGAAAATCGTTTGAGAAATGCTTTGGAAAGATTGGAAATATGTATGTATCTATAAACGTTCTTGGTTCTGCGATATTCCAGGAGCATGTTTATCAATCAGAAGAAAAAAGCAACACAAAGTCCATGGGCAAGTGAGCACAAGATGCAGAGGGGCAGTAGATGCTGTCGTTGGAATCTATTGAAGACATGAATTTAAATCTTCTTGACAATGAGAAGGAATCACAATATCTTTAACCATGAAATAGCATTATCCAAAAGTTAAAAAAATATATATGGATCCGTAATACTAGAATTGGCGGCTATCACTCCCAGCAAAATTTAGACTGTCCTTATTTAAGTAAATAATAGCAATTTGCACACAACTATTCAAACCAGAGCAGAAACCACTCTCAAGTGCTTCCTCCCCCTATTATACACACCAATTCAGTCATTTCATTACTTATTTGATGATTCATTTATTTACTCATTAGTCTAACCACTATGTGTTTGCTGATAATTCTGGGAACACAGGAAAAAGCATTTAACATTGTGGTCAATGTCGATTTTGTCCTAAGTATTTTTGAGCTCTCTTTCTTTTACCCCGTTCTGATTCTCCTTTGATAGAGTGGGTGGATCACAGCTTCCTGGAGAGCAGGTCTCCTGGGCTTTCATTCACTGGGCCATCATTCACTGTTGGTGAAACTCCCAAATATTTGGGTCAAAATATCAGACCTTTGTAAATCAGAAGAAAAAGCGAACATTTCATTAGAAACAGACATTTTTTCACACTTTCATGAAAAAGTAAATTTTTCTTGCATATAAAAATATCCTACATGTCTTTTAATATTATTTTTTAAAATGGAAAACCATTTTTGCCATCACTGGACCTTGAAATATTAGATTATCCATAGCTATAAATTGTGAAAAAGGTTGATTTGGACTTGAGAAAATATCAAAATTTACTTACGTTCTGCACAGTGGTCACCTTGAGCCACATAACCACAGAATGAAGTGACCACTCAACAGACAGATTGTGTTTTTGTTATCTAATCTACACAGTTTATACAGTTAAATCCAACAAACATTACCATGTGATATTCTGATATTATCGATTCCTTAGGCTTCCTCTCTGTTTATCATAAGCGAAAATTACCTTTGTCCACAAAGACTTAACAGCACTTGTTAATACATTTACTGATGAGTTTATGAAACTGAGGACAGTAGACTTCATTATTCCGACCACTAAGTGAATGGTAACACCATTAAGGCTTTGATTTTTTGGAGGATTACGCATGGCTATCTGTCTGTGAGGCACGTTCTATTAAAATTTGAAGACCAATATTCATTGATGTTCCTGTGGTAAAAAGAAAACTCAAAACAAGCTAATCATCTATATATAGCTGGAATTGGACACAAACGAAAACAAAAACACAATTTGTGACTCATATTCTTTTCAAAGAGCTTAGCAAAAAGACAATCTACTGTTTGTGAAGAAACAGTGAGACTCAGAAGCAGAGTGTAACTGCTACTTAATCCTTTCCCCTGTGTATCTATTTAAAGCTATGTAAAGTAACCTGTTGGTTATAAACATGTTCTTACATTACTTATATATAAATTTTTATATATGTTATATTTTATAACTTATATATAAAATATATATGTAAATATATATATATTATATATATATATAATAGGGACTGAGAATTCACGTTAAAAAAGCACCTTGTTGCTGTATGATTTTATTGAACTTCTTAAAATAACAATAAGAATCAGGTATTCACATTGTATCCCTGTATTATATAGGTCATGACATAATAAATCTGTTTATTTCACTAACTGCATGGGAATGTCCTCTGTATTCCTGATATTCATTAATCAGTGAAAATGACAAGAGAGCAATAGTACCTAACTGGGAGTATTTTCGAGATGTTGATGGATTTCTAAGCATGAGTAGAAAACAGGAAAGTAGCTAGCCCTTCAGGGTGATCAATACAGGCTCATATTAGAAAGTAAAACATCAGGTTTCCCAGGGCAGAGATTTAACATCCTCGTAAGGGTGACTGAAGCCACTGTTTACTTACGTCCCTCTTCGCAGTGCGGAGCCACAGCTAGAGTTTCAAAATCAGAAGTGCATGATAAAGCTGTAGATCCACTAGTTTGTAAACAGTGTCATCTTAACACTTGATGCTTTAAATTATTGCTTCAAGTTTTAATTCCTCAAGTACATTGCATGCAGGATTTTATTGTCTTACAAAGACATGATGAATGTATTTGAATCTACATTAATGTAACATGAGAGGGGAATTAAAGCATGACTCAAGACATTAAAAATGTTGAGTTTCCCAATGCAATTATCATCAGCACATCAAATTTGTGTTCATTCAAACAGCGCGAACCTAGCGATATTCATAACTCGAGAACTTTGTGACTATTCAATAAACTTAAGTATGTCATCACAAAGAAGAAATCAGTATCTTAGCTATTGTGAATCGAGCTGCTATAAAGGTGGGGATACAGAAGTTTGTTTCATATGCTTAGTTCATTCCCCTTTGGCACATTCCCAGGGGCACAATGGCTGAGTCATATGGTAAATCAATCCACAGATTTTTCAGGAATCTCTGTATTATCTTCCATAATGTTTTTACTAGTTTATATTCCCAGCCCCCCCCCCCCAAAAGTTTTATATTATCTTTTTTTCCCACATGCTCACCAGTAACTGTTGTTTTGTTATTTTGGGATGAGAGCCATTCTAACTGGATTGACATAAAACACCACTGTGGTTTTTAATTGCACTTCCTTGAGAGTTATTGATCCTGAGCATTTTAATGTGTCTCCTGATCATTTCTCTCTTACTGAAAATACTTGTCCATTTCTTTTGCTTGTGTCTGCAAGATTGTTTGTAAGTTTCTGTAAGATTCTGTAAGATTGATTGTATTTATTTGAAGTCCTATTTACAGAAGGAAGGGAAGAAAGAGGGAAAGGAGAAAGAGAGGAGACAGAGAAACCTACATCTGGTACTCCATAAGCGACTGCAGCATGTGGAGCTGGGCCTGGAAATGCTTCTAAGTCACCCGAAGCCATGATGGGGAACAAAGTGCTTGGGCCATCTTCCATCGCTTTTCCAGGCACACTGATGCTCATATGTGATTCTTGCATCCCAGGCAACACCTTAATTGGCTGCATTACAACACAGGCCTCCAAAAAATGTTTTATTCTACAGTGTTTCATAAGCATGCATTTTCCTTTTTATAAAAAAAAAACAAAATAAACTTTAATTAACTAAAAATTTGAAATAAACTAATAAACAAAGTAATATATAGTAAATAATCATAATGCAATAAATCACATTACTGATTGACATGAGTTTAGAAATAACTTTTCAGGCTAAAAATGATGAAGGATACTTTCTGAATTTATTTTAATTCACATGTATTATTGTTCCACTCATTTTGTGAAAAGAATGAGAGTGGGAGAGAAAAGAGAGGAGAGGAAAGGAATAAGGGAATGTTGGGAGTATAATTATGGGCTTGAATTTGTATTTGAAAAATATATGAAATTTTTGGCATGATTACATAAATGAAAGGAATTACTCTATCAGTTGATATATGGTTTGTTGTATCATTACTCATACTTACGTTGTTTTATAAGAAAAAGTGACATAATTTTTCTTTTATAGGCTGTTAGCAAATGTCATTCTTAATGTTGTTATTGTTGTTATTCCTTCTTAATTCTTGACAATCTCTGCCCCTGGAGGGTAACACCATGTCACCATGGCATTATGCTATTCCTGTAAGCCTGCCTTCTATGTAGTCTGGGTTAGCTCACGCTACTGTAACTTCCACAGGACATTGCAAAACACAGCCAATGTCAGTGCGTCCTCTGTATTCTTCCATGTCATTTGTACATATACTATTGAGCAATGCAGTCACCACTGTATTAAAGTGGTTCTGAAATATTAACCAACATTCAATTTATTTTAAAAATTTAATTTTGTCTTTCCGTTTTTGTCTTTCTTACACTTGTAATTGTGTGCTACACCTGACTCTTCGTGTCTTTGAATTTGATAATTTTTTTCTACTTTACTTTTTCTCTTCTTTCTTCATTCTCTCTACAGTTTCTTTCACACACTGGTTTCATTTTTAAGCAAAATTCTGGTTTTCATATTCTCCTTCTCCATATACATTGCCAATTATTCGTTCAGTTTCAGCATTCATCCAGACCTTGGCAGTCCACAAATGTGTGTT